GACAAATACCAATTACCATGTCTTTCATCAACTATTATTTTGACTCATCATACCGGTTACCAAACTCTCACGTCTATTCACAGAACCAACCAAGGTTAAGTATTCCAATTTACGGTATCTAACAGTATTAGACGAAGCGACAACTTCTTATCCAGCGCAGAACCAAAGACTGTCATAGTTTCAGCTTCATCTGCTGAAGTGACGAATCATGATGAACATAGCCGAAACAAGCGTCGGGAGTTGAGAAACCACCTAATGGGCATTTCTTGTGCCCAATCACCTTATATTTCTGAAAGCGTACACAGGAAAGTGATCTTCTAGTGACATTGCTCTCTAACCACACAATCCTTAGGCTGAACACGAGACAACTGGGAAAATAAATATTCAATTTTTAAAGCTGGAGAAAAACCAAACAACGAAGAAGGGGAAAATAATGAATTCGATGAATTCGAATTCATAGAATGGCAGCCTTGGAGGCGTGATCATTCTCGTGTGGCCTATACCTTTTATTCATATTAGATATTTTGTTCTATCTTTAGGCTAAATGTGTTCTCCATCATATATTGGTGATCGTGATGATACGCTGGGTCGGTGTGGACAATGATGTGACTTCCATGTAATATCTTATAAATTAGACAGTCACATCACGACAAATCTAAAATTTTGGGATTAGGTCTACTATTTTGTACTTTAGGTGTATGCATTCTCACTTCAAGTGGCCGTATGCATATTTCATACGAACCACTCCCAAACCGTTTTTGGTAGATGTATTCGATGGCTTCATACTACAACATACTACTAGGAAAGACTGTGTTGTTTACAGACGACGAATATTAGATTCAAAAGACTTACCGATACCCCTTTCCACTGTGGAGAGTGAGTTCTTCGTGTTGTCGTCCAAGTCGATAAGTTTCATATTTCTGCGAAGCTGGTCTGTTGAAAGTCTCATGACAGATGTGCAGTTCTGTAAGAATCATCTACAAAAACTCACCAGTCCGTTAAGCGTGCGCAATTACCTTGATATTGTCGGTTCTGGGTAGACTAGAATGATCGATACTTTATCTTCTGGAGGGCGAATAAATTTTGCGTCAAAAATATGCCTGAGAAAATCTATGGAGATTGTTCCGATTTAACATTTCTGTATGCCTGTAGTAATATCATGTTTTGCGACTCGTTGTATAACATGGCTCAGGTGCTGGTGACGAGATCCTCAGTTCAACGTTATCGAAATATGAAGGCATAATATTAAGGCCCTTAAATTCGTTGTCAGTGAATCACTGGAAAGTTTAAGCGGGACTTCTTGAACTGACAGCCATACTCGAACATTCATAGAGTTCAGAGGGATCGGTAACAGCCATCTTAAGAATGTTGTTAGCAGACTTAGGAATTTGGTTACACTATTTAAATAAGTCGGTTTCCGAAAAGATAGTCCTACATTTCGGATTTTGAGTGTGCCGCAATAAGTACCTAACTGGAGTGGTCTTCGCAATAAATCGCTAGTTGTCTCTGGCCAGACGCTAGGTATTTCCATCTATTTTAGTGACCATATACAACGAGGGTGTCCGCGAGTTGTTTGATGGCTAAGTTATTCCCAAATGCACCTGGTGATCAAACTTGTTTTCAACCAATATCGGCTTTTTATGAGCTAGTGTGCATGCCATTGTAAATAGTAGTGGTCGTGAAATCGTAATGTGATGGGTAACGTTGCAGGATACACACGGTAGTTATGGTCGTACTTTCTACAGTTCAGGGCACTCATCTAGGATTGGCTAACAGAATGGACCGGGCATAACTCAGAGCCAAGAACCGAAGCTCTGCAAACAATCAAGTTAGTAATTTCATCTACCAACATCTGTTTGCTTAGGTCGACGACTAGGTCATGGCATGGTGGAAGACCTAAGCAAATGATTGTCATTGAAATGTTTTACACAACAAAAATGTGGAGGATGGGTTTAAGTAAACCTACGTTCAGAGTAAACACGCCTTTCACAGTAAGTGGCGATCAGTCCTCCATTTAGCGCCTGTAAATTGAGAAATGGATCTTTTAAGCAGTCGTTAGCATTCACAGTGTATGCCCTAACTTCTGGTCCGGTTTCCATGAGATCGAGAACTTTAATCATCGCATTGGTGAAGCATAAGAGACGGCTACATCCTCCGGCTACAGATGCTGTTTAAGCATACTGTTAGAAGATTTCCCTCAATGAGCTTTCATGATAGAAGGCTTAAGACTGAGGAAAGTTCAGAGTTTCACGTGATTTTCAGAAAACACCATAAATGTTATCATATCAACACCAACTGGGGTTATCCGTTGCTCACAGTCTAGAAACAGGTTTTCGAGTCATGGGCTCCTATGAAGATCTGTAATTTAGTTTGTATGCTATCTTTCGAACTCGCGCGACATTGCCTTCACTGCTGCGAGGAACTGCACATGTGGGTCTAAAACACTGTTTGTTAGATTCAGCGTCTTCAAAGCAGAACTGTGCTTCGACGTATATATGTGCGAGGGAACTTGAGAACACAAAAATTATACCTTAATATGTAAATATATATCCAGTATGTTACAACAAGGTACTAACCAACTGCTTATCGTTTTATGTACCAGATCTATTCAGCGGTTAAGAAGGCTGTTGTTTGTAATACCTTCATAATGGTGGGTCCTAAACATGGTCAAAAAAGAAGCCAGGAATAAAGGAGTCTATTGATATGTTCGGAAGAAAGTCAATGTGTCTAGAAGTATATAATCTAAGCTGACTAGGTGTCTTGAGGGATGCCCAGCACGGCATACCCAACCGTGATCTATGACAGTACTGGATCTTGCACCTTCAGTGAGAATGTGTACAGTAAAACTAGAGAGGTCCATATTCATATCGAAACTTTCAGAATTGTTTATATTTGAGATTTACTTTTCCACTACTAACTCTGTATCTCGGTAGATGGAGTGTTCTAGTAAACCTATAGATGATTTGATTACAAACTCGTAAGAATTAGGCAGCCATTACTCTTCCATACACTTTGCAAGGACAAACTTACGGTGGTGCATAAAATGTTCACAAATTAAAGATTAGCAGAATGTGGACTGGCTACTGACATTGATATCAGTCTTCAATCTTCAGTAATAAGGATAGTAGGTTGATGAACCTGTGTTAATCCTGACAGATTTCCTTCCAGTGAAGGTCCAGCTTCTTTTTGAAAATGTTCACTGATGGTGCTGATACCACTTGTTCTGGTAAAGCGTTCCAATCATTGACCACTCGATGAGAAAAACGGGACCCCACCTTTAGTTTATTAGATCGCGGTTTCAGAACCTTCTTGCCATGACCCCGGAGCAAAAAGATAAGACATATTAACACCCACATCATAATTAAAGATACGAAATGCCAGTATAAGGTCACCTCGCGTCCTACGATAAGATAAAGGGAAAATGTTTGGACGTTTTAAACGCTCATCGTAAGGGAGTTTAGAAAGACCCTTTACTAATTTTGTCCCTACACGCTGGACACGCTAACGCGATTTAGTATTCTTTATCAGACATGGGCTAGCTGCTTGGATACAATATTGTAAGTGTGGCCTTACATAGGTGGGATATAAAATTCGAAACATATCCTCGTCAAAGCATTTAAATGCTCTGCGAAGCGACCATAGCGCTTGAAAGCCTTTGGAAGCAACCGCATTGCAGTGAGTAGTAGTTTTTAAGTCGTGACTTATAATTACTCCTAAGTCTTTGTGCTCATGAACGCGTGGCAGAGATGTACCATTAATGATATAATGGTAACTAATATAGTGCCCGATGTGCATGAACACGCTTTTCCTGGAATTAACTTCCAGGCCCCAATCATGAGCCCACCTAACTAATTCGTCTAAATCTGCTTGCAGATAACAACAATCAGTCTCATTTCCTATTGTTCTCCAGATTTTAACATCATCCGCAAACAATAACGTCGACGACTTAAGTAATAAAGGTAGTTCATTAGTATACAGAAGGAAAAGTAGAGGGCCTAAGATGGTGCCTTGGGGTACAGCACTTTTGACCGGTTTCCATTCGGATAGCGTTCCATTGACCCTCACTCTCTGTCTGCGGTCACATAAGAAGCTTCCTATCCATTCCTGTATAGCACCTGTTATACCAAAGCTCGAGAGCTTTGGCGTCTTTCCAGTCTCTAGGTAGTTGAGCCTGTGAAAGTGACTTGTTGAAGAGCATCGTGAGCGGTCTTGAGATAATGTCCGCAAGCGACAACAGTAAACGTGGGTGTAACCCATCGGGGCCCGGTATCTTACAAGGTTTTAGGTTAGTTATCAAAGGAAGAGCAATATCCTCCGTCATGTGTAAAGGTCCAATGGCTGGTATCTCATTGTCAACGGGACAAGTAGTTATAACACTACACGTAGAGTAGACTTCAATGAAATAGTTAGCAAATGTCTCCGCTTTCGCTAGATCAGATCCAGCCAATAAAGCTGAATATTTGCTTAACAGTAATGAGGGGATGCCATCACTACGTTTCGTCCGCCTTTTAACGTACGAAAACAGTCGCTTCGGACAGGTACGGCTATCGTATGCCAACCGTTGTTCGTAAGCCGTGCGGGATTTAGCTATGGTCCTTTTACATATAATCCGGATTTTTTTTATATTTGCACTTAAATGATACCTGGCCTGTTGACAAGAATAAGTCCCAGAAGTGTTTCCTGCGCTTCAACAGCTTCCGAGTTTCCTTATTAATCCATGGAGGGCAATATGATAGCTTACGTGCTATATCAAGACATCTGAGGGAAACTCAGATTAAAGACATGGTGATGACCGCTTACATAGAACTATTCACAACAATATTCGGTCAGTGCGAAAGTTATGATCAGTCCAAACTCAAGCCTCCATGTCTTTCAGCCGTACTACAACGTAACTGGGATAACACAAACCAAAATTATCTCCCCCTCATAAGTAGAGGAGTTACTTCAATACAGTTTCAAGATTAGTTTATGTTAACCTAGGAACTATGTATTTCTACCATTTATTTTTGCAGTACGTGTTAAACTAATTTCATTTGAAATTAGTTATTGAACACTCGACACTCGTTTAAACTAACAAAGGAACTGCGGATCAGCTGTTGACCTACAGTTTACCAGTAGATCTTACATCCTATTACTAGTAGGGCTCAATATAGTCCACCATAGTTTGAAGTTATGCTGGAGCAAAATGGCGATATACTATATGGCCAGTTCAATGGCGTTGCTGCAATTAAAAACGACCTCATTATTGCTAGGTCAAGGAGTCTTTCAGTTCGTGATGAGGAAATGCTACGCCTCATAGGCCAGTATCTTTGTGACAAGGGACTTAAGTATGATATATTATATATATTAACACTCACTTCAGTGGCACATATACACAGCTTTCTAGAGAGTCTGGAATCACCTTAGAACACAACGATGCAACAGAGTTACGTCATGCTATTTTGGAAGGTAGATGGTTTGATGTAAGTCATTCTCCCACAGTTTCCCTACGAAACTCGGCTTTTGTTCTGGTTGCTTGATATAGTTTATAAATGATGAAACCCAGTTGGTCTAGTTACTTATATTAAACTCGGAATGTAGCAGGTTTATAATCGTTCTATCTTCCCACTTAGTAGTATAGTTTTTCGTAACCTCAACAATAAATTTGGTACGAGCTTTAGACAACTACTTAATACGACTAGTAGGTTTAAAATGGGAAACCTTTGACGGATTTTACCGTCTATTCCACTTAAGAAAAGTGTATTTTTCAGTAGACTCTTTAGTTACTGTACATTTCATGCATTATCTTTTGTATCTCAATTTAAGAATGTTATAAGATGAGGAGGACCAATTTGGGATAGATAAAATGTAGGGAAGTCTGAATTTTTATTCAAAAGTTAAGTTGCGCTTTCAATGGAGATCGCCCATTGTAATCCCCACCATATCCGATGTAATGAATGCTACATATCCGCATCATCAGTTTGAAATCAGTGATAACAGCGTTAATACGTTCGCACCCTTTAGTTGGTTTTTCTGAAGGAAGTTACAACTTCGTGTCTTAATTTAGCTTCCTTTAGTCAGATCATGTACTTTAATACAATTGTTATATCATATACTGGTGATTAAGACCACTTGCTATCTGTTGTTGGGGACTTTAGGGAACTCGTAATAAAACACCGAGTAATTAGGCTTTGGGGTGCTTATTGCCACCATATCTTTCTAAAACAATTCACTAATACTTATAAATTAAATCTAGGAATCATCAACTCAGATTTCCCCCCTTTAATTACAACCAAGATACGCATAAAGTTTGTGATGTCACTTGAACTTTTCATCTCCACAATTATATACATAATGAGCATCCCATTTCAAGAACAATTGTCTAGTTTAATTTTTGGATCAGATGAAACCTAACATCTCAATCACGCCGATCTTACTAGCTACACTTTTAATGCAAAAAAAGTAGACGAGTTCTGTTTATTTTGAAGCCGATGCTTTTAAACATGTTTTTAATCGATATAAATGTGTGTATCATTCAGTAAATCAAGCTATATTCTCGGGAAATTCGAGGTTAAGTAAGTAGTTATTTTGTGTATGAAAAACCATCTTCGTCAGATGTATGGGACAACAAAGCATTGTGCTGACCATCTTCATCTTTCACGGGGACCTTCAATAACATTAACAAATTCGGCTCAAACTTTCTGTACAATTTCAAATGTCTTTTGCTGACTCAAGACCTTTCATTTTACTCTAGCTCACCAATTATCTGGATTGAATAGTTGTAGAAAAATCTCTCACATGATAGCAGAGATTGTCGAGTGTTTAATTGGATTGTAAACTATCCTTCATTAGTTTCCACAGTTAACTACCAGTAATTAAGTAGCCGAGTGATATCTTTATAGTTTAAAGTGATAATTGGTAGTAAAGAAGTGAAACAGCTTTTTCTTGTTTGGTTATTATTTCGACTTGTAAAAAAGCAACTGTACGAAAAAATTCTTTTACACCAATTATCCATAGGCTGAAGCCGCAATAGACAAGTTAGCACCCATGATAGGGGATCTAAACAGTGTTGAAGAAGTCCGATTTTTGATATTAGAGCAACAATTTCTGGAAAATTTGGAAGCCAATGAAGTAATGCCTGCCGTTACTCTTCTACGCAATCGTATTACACCTATGCAACGTAATACAGAGCGAGTACATACTTTAGCCAGGTAATGGGGATATTGTTTTACATATTTCCAATTTAGCTTCTTAGAAAATATTGCTCAAATTTTCAAATGTTTTTTCATGTGTTTTAGTTGGCATGGGTGTGCTAATAAGGTACAACAACTTAAACCGGTGTGCACATGTGCTAGGTTACACGTTGCACTTGGCTGACTGACTGAAATGATATTCCTTCATTTCTAAACTGAAGAAATTGTATGATAAACTGTCGTATTGTATGCAACAGGTGCATCGCTGTTGTAAACTGTTCTAGCTAATCCGACTTCCTACTGTCACTTCAGGTAGTGAAGATATACAACCAACTTTATCCATTTTCTTTAATGACGCAGTGTTATCCATTACTCAACTGCGGAGAAAATTTTCGAAATTGATTACGGTGGTGATATCGTTTTGTTATGTGATAAAATACCAGCTACACACTTCTAATGTAATCACCTACTGGTTAGAGTTTTTTAGCATATTATGTACTCTGTGCCATCAAGAATATAAGTTGTTTCTATAAAACTAGCAGAAGTCTTTGTCTGTATTCACTTTCTGTGATTAGCTATTGAAAATTCTCGAGAAGTTTGTGTATCTGGGAAAACGTGGATTCTGATTCTTTATATACGATATCCCCTTATTCGGGTTTACAGAAGCTTGTTCCAAATCTTGAATTTCCTCTATTGTCATAATTTTTTCACAAAAATGTTATCAGTAATCATTAAATAGGAAACCGAGATAAACTTTCTAGATCCCACAATTAGTTTAAAACAGTAATAATCTCAGGTCCCATTGACCAAAACTTGGGCAAATGATAGATGAGTGCTGTTGAAAGTTTACTTCTTTTTACAACCCATGTAATCAAATATGGTAATTGTAAAAGCCCCAAATGCCATGGTACGACCGACACTAGGGAGAGTCCGCCCTCCATCCCGAAATGCTCCCACATGGCCACGTGCATACAGCCACTGCCAGGGAAGTTCTACTCACTGCCTTCTCGTGGCTGGGGTGTTGTTCACAAAAGTGAGGGGACGAAAAACAAAGGTCCGGCGCTTTAACCGGGTTGATGGACACGTAGAGTTGAAAAACACTGACTTCAAACCAGTGGTGCAAATGGGCTTCAGGATCCTGAGGTGACAAATGGCGTATGAACCAATTGTTGGTCACCGCTACCATAGGATTGCATCTCTTTACGTTGCTCCACTGCCTTATGGATTAGACTTTTAGGTCAAAGGCTCCGGGTGTGGCCCCCTAAGAAAACCACCTGCTTCGGTCTGGGCACCCAAGCACTGTCCCAGCCCTCGCATAAGTCGAATGATTTATGTAGTGCATATCTACTTGGTACCCCCTTGTACCAATGTTTGTGTTTAAATAAATAAACTATAGCAAAAATAGGTTTGGGCGCCTGTGCAGTATCCCAGCCCTCACAAAAATCAAATGATGTGTGGTGCATATATATTTCGGTGTCTTGTACCAATGTTTATGTTTAAATAAATAAACTAAATCATTCACAAAAATACTTAGACTTTTAAAATTCTTACCCACAGGACAAATATCACTGACCGTTTACTGCAAATATACTTTCTTATTTACTCATACAAATTAAAACTTGTTAAGTAGTGTTTTACAAACTCAATCACTGACACACCATCGTTGGAAGAAATCAATAGGACTTTGACGTATTTTCTAGTTTTCTTACTAGAAAACCCATCATACTTCCTTAAAAGCACATTCTTTGCCTTACCAGGCAAAAAATCATATTTCGGTCACATTGAAAAGAATAAGTAGTGTATCACTTGGTAGATATGTAGAGAAATTCGCATCATTTGCATCTTTTCTAGTTTTTCGTAAAAACCTCAGTAACAACTTTTAACAAAATATTAGAAGAGGTTAGATTTTGATAGCTTCAGTATACTTGTAAACTCATTCCAATAAGCCTCGATTATGTTGAGTGATAAGAGCGAAAGCAATACAAAGAACCGAAAATAGTTATTTTATTTCAGTCTAAAATGTCAATGTTTAGTGAAACCGTAAACAAAGATGAATCAGTAGTTCATTCGTAAACCAACTAACTAAAATGCTCAGGAGAACACATTAAAGAGCAGCTCGTCTGAACATTAAGCACATTCTACTTTCCTGTTATTCACAAACAACGTAATGTAGAAATCGAGATAATATTGTATCTCTGGTGCATAAATTATAGTAATATTTAAGATTGAAGGTCTAGGATTATTATTCAAATCGACTGAAATATTCACTGGAATTCGGAAGCTTAAAGTGATTCTACTCAACTTATTCCGGTTACTGTTTGTAAGCAAAACGTAGACATGCTATTATGGTTAGCGTAGACGTGATAAAGAATAAGATCCATCAAGAGATGAAGTCAATGGCTATTTTGCTGTAAGTGAAGGTGAATATATTACACTTAATGCCCCTAACATAACGTTGACCGTTTATTATAGACAACAAGTTGGCTGAAAACCATTCACAGTAGTAGGTCATATACATTCATTTCTTATATCTTAAAAGGTGTGAATATATTTTCCCCGTATTTTCGACAATCTAGTAAGATCGATTTTTAAAAAAAATCTTGCTTCTTTTTTAACCATCCTCTGTTACTAGAGATTATCCTCTTGTTGATTTCCTCTCGTTTTGTTAGCAGGAATTGTTACAAGTTGAACCGATACACATTTTCAATATAGGTTCTGATTTGTTTTCCCTGTTTGTTGATTATTTTTTTCCCTTCACTTATCAAAGGCTGGTTTAATATCTATATGCTTACTGCTTGTATAACTGCGTTAGTCAATAAGCGTATTCACATTTGATATGTTGTTTGTTTCGTACTGGAAAATATGTCTACATATTAATTTTCTGTCCTATAAAACATAGCTGAATGTATTTTTTTCAGAATTTATATCTGTCATCCCAATAATTTTGTCAAACTAAATATCTACGTTTCTGAAAAGTGTTCTTAACCTCCCGTTTTGTTTGATAATATTATTGTGTACATATAAAGTTTCTAGGAATAATCATAGGTCTTTTTGAAGAGGAAACGTCTTCAGTAACTTGTCATTGTATTGAATCGATTTTATATAAAGGCTACTATACATTCATAAAATTCCCCGAATGCCCAATGGCATTCTAAAGTAGTCCAGAAAATGTAATAATGACCAATGGTGAAAGCAAATAGCACGTCTACAGCTAAGGAACGTGAGTACCTAATTAAACGCAAGTCACTTATATATTGAAATAAAGCGGCATAGGTCAACTTAAAACAAAAATAAGAAACAACACTAAGAATGATCAAAACATGTAAGCATAGTAAGGTTTAATGGATAATCTAAGTATATTAAACACAGGAAACTTTAAAAGTAAAATGGCAAAGTAAACATAAACTAAGCCGAAAACATGATAAGTTCTGGCATGTTTTCCTTATATGTATCCACTTTCTTATAGACATGGTGCTTCTCGTTGCTGATAACACTCAGATAAACCAAAACACTTCATGGAATTTTTTAGATCTACCGCTTGTTAGATTACATCGAGTAGGTCAAGCTGCTTGTCATTGATTACCCATAAAATACCTAAGTTTTCCCGTTGACTGTAGTATCTCGCACTAAGCAATGCTATCTAAAATGTATAACCCTTAAAACCATTTAGTTTTGTATCAGTTCAACCTGTATCACTCACTAAACGTCTCAATTATTCAATCGGCTTGTAAAGTATAATTTGTAATCTCAGACCTATAACAATAAGCTATATTCCCTTACTGCTTTATATCTTTAACTTATTTAGTTTTTTCAACGATTTTCTTCAAATTTTAGTTGTCTGATGTGTAGAACTGCTGTTGAACTCCAAGCACAAGCAGGTGGTTGGGCTGGAGTAGATGCTGGCAGTCGTTTACAACTGATCAATCGAATACAAGCCTTTATACCAGCACAGACAATGTTACCACCTGGGAGACTAGAAGAGTTGATCAATGAATCTGTTCGTGCGCAGTTGGCTTCATGCATATTTCATAATCCTCCGATGGGTGTCCAAACTGATATAAATAATATATCATTACTACAGCGTCATTCGTGTGGCATGTAATTATTTATACAAACTAATTGTTTTATGGCATAAAAACGTTATCATCTGACACTTAGCTATGAATAATAACGGTGATTGACTTTTTGAACACAGTCTAGTTGTTGGAAACCCCTGACTGATTCAGTAAAGTAACACGAAACGGGTTAATTCACGGCTTTTGTTCCCAGACACTAAAGTAATGTGGCTCACTGTCTGATTTATTAGACTAGAGACAATTCCCTACGTTTTATTTCCTTTGACTGTCTACCTCATTTATTACTTACTTACTTACTTACGCCTGTTACCCCTTGTGGAGGAGCATAGGCCGCTCACCAGCATTCTCCATCCAACTTTGTCCTGAGCCTTCCTTTCCAGTTCTCTCCAGTTGCTATTCATCCTTTTCATATCGGCTTCTATTTCCCGGCGTAGTGTGTTCTTTGGCCTTCCTCTTTTCCGCTTCCCTTCCGGATTCCAAGTTAGGGATTGAGTCGTGATGCACATTGGTGATTTCCTCAATGTATGTCCGATCCACTTCCAACGTCTTTTCCTAATTTCATCTTCAGCTGGAAGCTGGTTTTGTCCTCTCCCATAAAACGCTGTTGCTGATAGTATCCGGCCAGTGGATGTTGAGTATTTTGCGTAGACAACTGTTTATAAATACTTGTACCTTCCTGATGATGGCCGTAGTAGTTCTCCACCAACCCAATCACACTTGATGGCGAAACTCTGGAAGAGTTGGAAACATTCAAGTACCTGGGGAGCATCGTTGATAAACAAGGAGGATCGGATGCAGATGTAAAGGCGAGGATTGGCAAAGCAAAGGCAGCATTTCTACAATTGAAGAACATATGGAACTCTCAACCAATTTCAAGGTCAGAATCTTTAATACGAACGTCAAGACAGTCCTACTGTATGGAGCTGAACCTCATTTATTAACTTTTACTTAATGACTTCAAAATAAGAAAACCATATTCCTATTAAACATCGTAATTGAGTAGTGTTTTTAGTACTTTTTCAGCATCATTTCTACTCCATGTTTTTATAACATTTCATTTCCGCCATCGTATCTATCTATAAATTAGTACTCATGTACACAGCTGTAAAACCAAATATCAACTGGATTTATTACATAAAGTTTAATGACACTACCTAACTATTCAAAGTGGAACCCGTCACATATTATGTAGAATTCGACGCCCCAAATCTGTATTATTTCTACATAACATATAAAAGCGTTAATTAATTTAAACTATTGACATAAAATGACACATTTTACCATGTCACTGCCTTCAGCAAATACCTTTTATAAAAGCTCACATTTGATAGCTTAATCAGGAAAAAACATTTCCACCCATAATTTAGTCCATACTATCTCCCATTTTCGAACGTATTTTTTTCTCAGTTGTGTAACGACTTAGTAACCAAACCTCGAATTAAATATTCATACTCCTCCCTGCCTACTGTGGTTTGATTAGCCGGATGATTTCACTTGCCCTTATCTAGTAGTAGCCTATTGATAAAAACACTACCACCAATCATTTGATTGTATGTTCAGACTCTGTTGCACCTACTTGAGCTTTGTCATCCAGCTCTTACAGCTTATATGCTACTGAAGGCCATGTACATAAAACTATATTTGGTTAATGAATCATATTAAGTTACTAACACCTCACTTGCTCTAGCAGAAGACTCTGCCGACAAATTACAGGACCCTATAACTATCTTAATCAACATATAAACGTGTTTGGGATAAGATTCTCTCCCTCAAATTCAAAGTGTCACCTCAGTGTTGGCCTGCATCACCTCCCGAATTATTGCTAGTAAGTGAAGTAATCGAGTGCAGCAACCGTTTCATCTATTTCGGAAGTCTCACCAGTCATGATGGGCTGGTGGCTAACAAGCTTTCGACACGAAATCAGCAAACTAAATTGATCATTGAGAACTTGCCTCACTTGTGAAGTAGGCGATTTATCTGTATGTCAACCAAAAGACGAGTTCGCTACTCACCAGTTCGCCTCATTCTACTTTACAGATGTGAAACATGGCCATCAAGAATAGAGGACATTCCTAGTCTACTAGTATTCAACCATAGGTGTTTTCGAAGCATCGCTCGTTTCTTTTGGGACTACTACCTTGGGATTCGTCTTTAAACAATTTTATCTCGCTGTGCTAGCATGGTATGAGAACTTAAACAGATGCACGTGTCGGGTTTTATGTTACGTATAACTGATTGACAATTGCACATTTAGTAGACCTTAAAGACGAACGAAGTGGATAATAGAAACATCCAATTGATACATATCCTATATTCTAATACTAGCCAACTGCCAAATATGCTATTAGTGTTAGATTGTTATAGCTTAACAGTAAGACTTCTGGACATCTTTCAGTAGGAAAGTCATAGTTGGTTGGTTACCTTAATAAAGTTTTTCAGTGTTGCCTTTTATTTAAAAGTCTCAGTCAAAATAATCATGTCATGAGCCTAACAACTTATTGTAATATAATCCTATCTTTCACCCTTAATCTCAATTTAGGCAAGATTTTCCAGCATTTTGTATCCAAACTTTGGACCATCAAAGAGATTCTGATCTATGGTTTTGTCAGTTTTCTCCAGACGGTAGCTATTTAGCAACTGGTGGTAAAGATGCAAATGTTGACGTTTGGCGTGTAGACTCTGTACGACATGCTGTCTCATTTTTCCGAGTATTAACTACACCTGCATATATCGGCTGTCTGTGTTGGTCACCTGATTCTAAAAAGTATGTAATTGTAATACTTTTTTATTTCTTTAATATACTACCATCTTATTGTATTTGTTTAACCATGTTGATATTTGGCTATAATATAAACTATCCACCGAAATTTAATGTGTTTTAGTCATAGTATGATATTTTATTTTTAAAATATTTGTTCATCATCTGTAAAAGTCTCTGTAAATCAAAATGTCGGTATGATTTATAGTACTCTCCTCATTAAATACATAAACTGAGCCACTTAAGTTGCCAATCCTGAAAAGTCATCTACTCATGTTGACTAAAACTTCCAAAGTGTACGATCTCTTGTGCCTTCCGATCGTTCATTTGCTGTCCAGATGATCACAGATGAAGTGAATTCAGGAAACTTGTCCTTGCATACAGTTCTAAAAAAAGTATTTGGCATTGGAAAAATTGTGTTCTAAAATCGTTCGAAAGTTACTGATACTTAACGATGTGTTAAAAAAAAACTGAGTTTGGATTCTACGCGTACAAAATAGAATGTGAAACCACTAAGCACGCAATGGACAGGTAAGACGTAGAACAATATGTCAACTGAAGCGTCTGACATCTGATGACCTTCATGGTTGTTCGAAGCAATAAAAACGGGAAAGAAATAATCGTGTTGCTGGAAATAGCGAGTATTTTGGAGAAGAAACTTATACATCATACATAAATAAATTATATATTTGTAATATCCCAATGAGTAGAAAAATTAGATTTTCTGACGTTTCGTGACTCAGTGTAAGCCACTTCTTCAGAGAATAAATAACCAAATTAATATTAATCCAAGTTTAAATAGTACAACGGAACAATCAAAGAATATTAGGTGATCAATCAAAAACAGGTCTGAATAAATCACTGTCACGTCATTTCATTTCGGTCAAAGTGATTCATAAGGGATATGTATGTAATTTTGTGTGTATGTGTGCATTGTTAATGACGAAAAATGTGTGACCTTTGTAATGACAAAGGATAGAGTTTAATTTGTAATGTAATGGTGTGAGATTGTAAATAATATTAGACTGGTTGACTAGGATAGATAGTCCAAGTGGGATGTATGGTAAGGCCTTCTTTTCTATTGAGGGCAGTAGGATTAAGCATTATATGGAAAGCTTCTGCTACTCTTCTTTCTTTGTAGTTAGAAAAACCTTTCTGTAGTATTTTGATATTTTTGAAATCAATTTGATGACTGTTGAAAATAATACATCATACATTTTGTTGAAATCGTTTTTATGACCTCAGTTCTAATATATCTGTGAACAGATTACGTGTCACATATTAACAAAAAGTTGTTTGAGATACGTATTTGTTTCCATTCGTTCTTCACTTCTTGATGCTTTTTGGAATTACTGCATACGCCACCACTAAATACATGTTTTTTGTTGAGATACGTGACAAATTACCAACTGTGGTTGGTGTTAGTTTATCGAAATTTAGAAAATTAACAATATCTGCTGAAGTAAAATTTATTTCTATACACTTCTGACCAAGGAGATATCAAACTATGAAGTCACTGACGGTCTTGCCTTAAGTCCCTAGTTATGAGTCGCCGAATGACTCTAAGCTCTGATTAACATAACTAAGGATCGATTCATTCATATTTTTATTGATCTCAATCTATTGCTCTTTTGAAGTTAGTGAATTGTCGTAAGGTCACATTAACATTTGTCTGTCTTCATATCGATTAATTTTTATGTCACAACGTAAACACCTTGCTATCATCTAAAATATATATACTTTCATCCTACAAAAGTCTTCAGGGATATTTTTTATTACTTTCAGCTCTTATGGGTTAATCCATCTCTTTGACTATGTACTAGCCGGTTAGAAAACATCTCATCTAGTTGTGTAGAAAAGTGTTAGTTTGCTTATCAAGTTCCATGAAATGGTATAATTCTATAGTGGGAAATAATGTTGGTCAAAAGTGATGGCAGCAGTATAGATTCATTGAGATCTTATAAATCGTGCCACTTAAATATTGCGTGATGTTAATCGTTCTTTCTATTTGTTCATACTTTTAGAAGGGCATAAACGTTTTCTAAACCTGTTGTCCGCTCATAGTAGGTTATGAATATTTCATAAATCAACGACTGTCCTGTACTCAAACTTCACTTAGGTATCTCATTTTCTTTTCACTAGATTGGCAGCCTGTTGTGGAGAAGAACAAAGTTCGGTCCTAGTATTCGATGTATTCAGTGGTCAACAATTATGCAGTCAGAAGGTAAACGATGAAGATGTCTATTCAACTGCCTCATTCTTCTCTGATAGTCGTAAACTAGCTTTTGGTGGTTTGAAAGGGAGCTTCTATGTAATGGTAAGTTTGTAAGACTGGTTAACTTCACGAATATTTTATAGAGTAAATTTCGAAATCTTCTGGTCGTTATATTACGCATCGTTTCCCACTACTCATTTAAAATCTAATAGAGCATTGTTGAACACAACGTATATTATAAGTATTTGCCATAACTCATCAAGTAAACGTTTGTATACTTAGCTTTAAGGCACAGTGTCTGTATATAAACACTAGGGGTACTATCCTGTCTGGTCCAACCGAAATAAGTTAGGGGTTCGCACCCGCGACCTACCGATTGAAAGCCAAATACCTTATTATTATATGTCTACTGATATACGAGATGTGGTACTTTTTAATGCGTGATCTCTGCTAATTTGGATCTTTAGCTTACTATTTATTTTTGTTCTAGCAATCAACCTCCAACTATTTTAACACCCACCATTAGTACTAAGCGACTGTACTATTGTTCTATGTTTCGTGTTTGTTTTTGAACTTTATATTAGTCTGTTGATTTTTCATGTACTTATTATTAATAGGATACTGAAGATCAGGGTCGTGTACTCGCCGTGGTTGAAGGTTATCGTGTACAAAGTATGGCGGCTATATTCCCACCGATACCAAGTATGCTTTTGCCTAATGGCACAGAATCTGTCCAAGTCAACCCTCCACCAGATAGATCTACTCCAGGTGCACCAGATTCGCCAGCAAATGGGTTACTTCAAAATGGTTCCACAAACGATGCAGTGAATAATCGTTCAGAAAATCAAATTGACCAATTGTTAGTTGCAGACAGCCTACATAGAATTCGATTATTTAGATTTGGTTTGGTTTGTTCAAATACGTCGTCTAGTAATACAAATACTACAGCAGATACTGCTGATATACCATTAAGTACAGTCACTACACCACATGAAACTAGTACCACATCTATATCGACTGTAACCATTTCCACTCTGTCTGCTTCATCTTATGCTCATACACCTGGTGAAGAGATTACAACCAGTACAACTATCGCGACAACGACAACTACTACTAGCAGTAGTAGTATCAGTACTACTACTGCATCAGCATTAGCTGCCTATTTATGTTCAAGTGGGAGTGCACCAGGTGCTCCAACTTCCGTTAGTATTTCTACATCAGCTAGCAGTGGTACAACTAATCCGGGTAATGTTAGAAGTAGTGATAGTAGTGATAATAACAACAGTAGTGTAATAGCCACAAGTACTACAGGAGAAAATCCTGGTGTAGCGACAGCATTAGCTGTTGCACGCTTAGCACAACAGCAACAACAACGTTTATTACAATCATCAAATCCTATGGCAACAACGAATCCAGCATCAACATCATTAACTGGTAATTTATCTTCATGGTATCAACAATCTGGTGCATATCAAGGATCAACAAGTTTAGCGTATACATCAAGCTCTTCTACATTACCACGTAAGTATTACAAATAGTACACAATTAAATAATAGTCGGTATAGGGGAGAATATCTATAGCTTGGATGTGGTATTCATTATCTTCCTAGACACTAGATCCATCAGCACATTAATTTGAAAAATCACAGTGGATTATCAAAATCTGTGTTTATTTATTAAAACACAAACATTGGTACAGAAGGGCACCAAAATATATATGTAACACACAAAATAGTTATCATTCAGTTTGTTACTACCTCTGCTATTCTGGGACCACTCGACAATTTAGTCTGCGTACTAATGGGCCATGAAAAAATAAACCGATGTACATGCGGTACCAAGTTCTATGTTGTGACTAACTGACTGGGCTGGGATACCGTTCAGTGCCTAAACCAAAACAGGTAGTTTTCTTAGGGGTCTACTCCCCGAACATTTGACCTAGAGATCTAATCCACAAGACAGTGGAGAAATTTTATCAGATGGTGTCCCATAGTAGCCGGTAACCGAGAATAGGTTCAAACGCCATTTTTCTCTTAAGGATTCCGGAACCTATATGGATCATTGGTTTGGATCCAAGGTTTTCCTTCAAAATTGTCAGCATATACTCAAGCTTCTTTTTATTCCTCTTGTTGAAATGTGACTGATTGGTTTGAATTTTTAGTTTAGAAGTGTTGGGATGCACTTATGAACCGTCACTATCGAGTTTACCCAAGACAGTTTATTGTATCATCAAACCATACTTCACATGTAGATTCACTATATCCATCTGTTTTTGGAGATCCGGACCATAACAATCACGAGATATTCTCATTCAAAATGTAGTAGAACCTCCTAATGTAATGACTCGTTTCTAGCTGTACAACAAACTCAGAATAATTTCTAACTAAAGTTTTAATAAGGCCCCAACGACATTTGACCCGGCCCCAAAGTGTTCAGAAAAAGAAATAAAACCAAAGGTTTGTTTCCACTTTATCTGACGATGGCACAACGTAAAGCGTGAGTAATTCTAAAGTCTTAGTGTCCGTAGGAATTAATCAGGATACGGTTGTCATGGCGACTGATTCGGCGTCACCTCTCCATTTGGAAATTTCAACTAGGGGCCACTAAATTCTTTTTCAACTGATTTTGGTCAAATGTTTGAAAAATAATGAATTTTCTGATACTGAAGTTCTATCAGCTATCATTTTAGTATACTATGTTTTGTTATTTCCAGTTAAACAAGCATCCATTCTCCGTAACTGCTGAGTTATCTAAGTTTCATAACTATTGATTATTACTATTTCAGCGGGTATTTTATTGGATATGCCCATACTGCCTGTCAGTTTAACTCGTCTTGGACCACCCACAACTCAGGGTTTGCAAGCTCAATTAGGTCTTCAGCCTATATTGCATCCAACTGGTTCTTTGCATGGTTCAAATCCATACACAGTTGTATCATCTGGTGCAAATAATCTAGGGACTACTGGTAGCAGTCTAACTATTTTATTCGGTGCTCCTTTGGATAGAACTTCAGCTTCTTATGCAACTACTCCAGTTGGTACTTCTGGTTCAGTAACAACTACTCCGACAGGTGTTCGAGCTTTAGCTGCTGCAGCTGCCGCGTTAGCCAGTGTAAACACTCGCCAAGTTCATTCTGTCTCTAGTGGCACAACAATGTTAACAGTGTCTACATCACCTGATAATAGTGGAGTAGCTACAGGTCGTTCATCTGTTTCCGTAACAAATATTGGCTCCACTGTAAGTACATCTACTTCTAGTATTGGTACTACTACTGGATCCCCATCTAATCCAACTACAGTTTCAGCGTCTCTACCAGCAACTGGATTTTCTACATCAACAACAAGTACAACTACAAATGCTCATGCTAGTAGTCTGTCTACAAATGGCAGTAATTATGGCTTAATAGATCATAGAACTCTTTTTAAAGAAACTCATCCTGTTCAATCAATTATGATTTCACGCTCAGGAACTATGGCACTTCTTACTATACATAAAATGGTAAGTTTAATCAGTCAATAACTTATATTTTCTTGTTTACAAAAAAGAAATATAATTAACTTAACTGTTGTTTATAATCATAAAAATTAGTTTAGTAGTAACTGTGGGGAAAAATAAAATGATACAAATAAATTTCTTATTTCCAATATTAACATGTGAGTAGTATGTGACTACATTAATATAGAGTACACAATTCATTACATTTTTGTCTAAAATTCTTTAAATGATCAATACTTGTACTGCAACTTCATGTTTCTCAATAGAAATATATGATTGTCATAAATTGTTAAGAGTAATCAGATTTATCTGATAGAAAGGAGCATTAGGTGTTGAGTTATGCAATTTTTGCATTTATTTACAAATAAAAATGTTGTTTTCTAGCGTCATAGTTCCATTTTATCTATTTCATTAGGCTAAAGTGTTCAAATTTCAGTAAGTAAGTTTCAAATTTGAACCTCACTACACCCTTACTTATTTACGCCTGTTACTCTCAATGGAGCATAGGCCGCCGACCAGCATTCTCCAACCCACTCTGTCCTGGGCCTTCTTTTCTAGTTCTATCCAGTTTTTGTTCATTCTTCTCATGTCTGTCTCTATTTCTCGGCATAATGTATCATTTGGTCTTCCTCGTCTCCTTTGGCCTTCCGGATTCCATGTGAGTGCTTGTCTTGTGATGCAGTTGGGTGATTTCCTCATAGTGTGCACAATCCACTTCCATCGCTTCTTCCTCCACTAAATGGAATCTGGTTTGTTCTCTCTCACAGTAGGTTGTTGCTGATAGTATCTGACCAACGGGTTCGAAGTATTTTGCGTAGACAACTGTTAATAAACACCTGTAACTTCTGAATGAGCGACAGTCTTTTGCGTGTTCACGTCACCCGTAGCTGATTGCAATATGAACAATCCAAATCCAGATTTGCGTTGCCAAAGGGAGAATCTCAGTAGCACATTGGCAATGACTGGCTGGACTAGGCGCTGGAAAGAAACAGTTTATCTTCTTTTGGATCTTAAGTTTATAAATTCTTCATAATCTTTTTATTTCACTAATTTATATTTTCTGCTCGAATTGCATCTTCGACGCCGAATCTTTTTTATTATCACTAATTTTCTTACTACCTCTACTACTCTTAGGTCTCCTCTAACAATTTCATATCTCTGTGTTAATGAGGTGTAGCAATTTAAACTGATGTACACATGTACCAAATCCTACGTTGCGTTTGACTGACAGAGCTGTAGAATGAAGTCACCATTTCCTGGCCTGTGACCATCAACTCCTAATTGCCTATCCAACCGTTTCTCGTCTGTGTCTTGTAATCTGACCTTAGCATTCATATCTCTCCAGCTATCACCATAATATTTGTCGAATGCGTTTTCGTGAGTTAATGGTTTGAATATCGTTAAGACTCATCCTTTCTTTCATCGGTGTGTAAGCGGAGACTATGAAAAGGTTTTTCAAAGATAACGAAACCTATCAGCTCTCCGACATGTATCAAAGTACAAACATCGATTGAATTATGTCATATGTGGAATTATGGAAACTATCAGATCTCGTAATCGATGACAACGTTCATAAAATCGATAACCCTACAATTAAAAACCGTTTAGAATAATAAATTACGATAACAAAAGTCTTATCAATAGTTAAAACATCGTAATTTATTATTTTTACTATTATCAATTTACCTGTCTTCCTATTATCAACTTGTACTTTTACCTATTATGTGCAGTGACGTAATCTATTTCATTGTGATTATTGATTCAAAGTGCCTTGATTAGTTAAACATTTTCGTATAAATATTCATGTATATTAGAGTAAAGCCTGATGACGATCTAATTGAAAACAATTATTCGCTTACAAACTAAATTAGCATGTAATAGTCCTGGATTCCACTGCTAGCCATTATCTATCTTTGATTACCAATCCCGAATATCGTTTTAAAAAGTAATGAGGCGAAGCGATCGAATATTTTCTTTATAATTATTCATTACCATATTTATGTGTGGGTGTTAATACTACCTACCCCGACTCCAAGGCTGAAAAAGATGATTTTTTTTTTAAGAGATTGACTACTGACTGAACTTTTGACTAGAGGTCAAATCCATGAGACAATGGAGCAACGTTAGGAGATCTAGTCTCATGACAATCAGCGACCACATTAAAAGTGTTTGGAAGCTTGCCCACTGAAACTTCTGTGCATCAGTCATAAATTTTATTATCCATCGTAAAGTAGCAAAAGATACGAAAGTCACAATATTAATAGTTAGGTTATTCAAAGTTGATGATACCGAATCTGGTAGATGGGTTTGGGGCGGAGCAAGAGGGTAAAACACATGCTTTTTCATCCTAAATGTTCCATCATTATCAACTTAATTAAGCCACGTCGAGTATAGGTCTGGTTTGTCAGTTTCCTCAATGTTTGTTCTGTCCACCTTCAGCGTCTTTTCCTAATTTCTTCTTCAGCTAGATTCTAGTTTGTTTTTTGCTAGTCTGTTGTCGCTGATGATATCTCAGTCAGTCTTAAGTGCTGTTAGAGGTATGAGGGCAGTTATCACTTCCCGGTTGCCCACACCGTGGAAGGGTTCTTCTAGAGGTACCTGAAAAGGAAATTTGATTAGAAGTGGTCTTAATGACCTGAGAGCGTGACAGCAGTGCCCAAGGGACAACTGCTTGAGGTTGGTCACACACGACCTTTTTGTGGGCAGTTTTTGAGTTAGCTCCGTTCTTCAAAGGACCTTACCGCCGGAGACGGATATCCGTGGGATAAGGCGAGGTGTGCATTTTTAGGGTCGATCTTTTCTAACCCAACCCAACCCCCTTGTGGGAAGGCAGCATCGCTGTCATGCTGGTTGTCTGAAGGAAACACCTTACTGCTGTCACACCTCAGTACAGTCAGCAGTACGACTTCACCTTTGGACCTTGGGTTTGCTGCTTTTAGTCTTATCGCTCTTCAACCGGCCTGTCGGGAATGGTAAGACCTTGAGGAACGATTGTTCCAGCCAGTATAGCTCAATTGGTTCATCACGATAGGCAAGCCCGAACACCATGTCAAGGTAGCAGCGACGGTCGGGGCTGATGGTATCTGGTCAACAGTTACGAGGTTAAATATCAAATTCTCTATTTGTCATTTGTTTCTTTCACTTTTCAGTCTAAACTCTTCTTGAGTGGAATAAACTTATCTAAAACGTTTTCTATTCAACAAATAAACATATACGTGCTCACATTAAACTTTCATTCAGATTCTACATCTGTATTATTTTTTGTCGTATTCTAGAAAATCAATTCAGTTGTAAGCGGTTAACATGTGAATCCATATATATATATAGTTAAAACTATGATCTATAAGATCTAAAGTGTGTTTGTTTGTTTGTTTGATGATGTTTTTTAAACATTGAATATTGTAAATGAAAATCTGCAGTAAACAAATTTAACCTTGTTTCGTGTATCAATTCGACTGATCCACTTTCGGTTCATCATATCCATATGACAGTAATATTTAATCTCTTAAAGAAGTACTTCTATCAATTTTTCAAAAGTTTAGATTATCATTGTTAAAGTACTTTTATTCTCTTTGTATAAGAATTGCACATGCTGAAAATGATTATTAATCATAGGTTAAAACTATTGATTTTTATATTATGAAATTGTAATTGTAATTTATCAGTTGACATTTTTCATGAGTAAATGGATAACGCAATGATGCTTGAAGTGAAAGGTACTGGGTTCGAGTCCCAAAATGAACATCAACTCTGAGATGCAGGTATATCCAGCTGATGAGTCCCAAGTAGGATGAAACGTACATCCTAGATTCCACTGCTAGTCACTATCCATCTTTGTTTATAATGCTTGTGATTTTTAAGGCTATATTGAGGCAATACGCACAGTATGTACATATGGCCAATAAGAGACTGATCCATTGCAGTCCTAAACATCAATGGGAAGATTCGAACAAATAGTACCAAGTGAATTTAGTAAATGGATTTGGGTTTTTTTACTGTATACATTTGATGTCACGGTTTATTAAGAAATGTAACAAATAAGTAGTAATGATCAAAAATTATTGAATATACTTAGTCAATAATTGATTTTATTATAATTGTTTGTGGAAAGTAAATTAAATTGGAATCTACTCTTAAAGTGATGAAACTCGTTTACTTACTTACGCCTGTTACCCCTCGTGGAGGAGCATAGGTCACACACCAGCATTCTCCATCCAACCCTGCCCCAAGCAATCCTTTCCAGTTGTTAATCATCCTTTTCATATCTCCTTCTATTTCCCGGCGTAGTGTGTTCTTTGGTGTTCCTCTTTTTCGTTTCCTTTTCGAATTCCAAGTCAGGGTTTACCTCGTGATAAAGAACTAACTAGCTAAAAAAACGCTAACCATAACAAAAATAATTCATGAAACTCATTTACCAGGTATAAATTTGTGTGTGATTAGCTCTGATGTATATTTTAATTATAATGTCTATTGATATTATCTAGTTATTTAAATGGAGGGGGGGGGTAAAATGTAGAACAATGATTTCAATCAATAATCATGAATATCTATCTCTGTAAAAATAACAACCATAGAAACAGTGATGAGAAAGTTGTATTTTCTGCATCATAAACAAAACACTATTAATTTTGTCCTAATTATTTACATTTTTTTTATATTAAACATAAAAAGGGATTACATTTATGGGATTTAGAAGCTTGTGCTATTCTACAACGATTTGTTGGGCATAAACAAGATACATTTCGATTATATTCTACATTCGGTGGAGCTAATGAAGATTTTGTAGCTACAGGAAGTGAAAGTAAGTTATGGTTTGTTTTTCGTTGAATACAATCTTATAGTAAATTTTTTTTACGTTTCTAAATAGATGATGGTTTTTACCAACTTATGGCGTAGGCGAGATATCCATATGCCGACAAAAGGACGAATTTACTGTTTGGTAGTCCGCTGCGCTCTACTTTATAGATGAAAGACATGGCTATTAAGAATAGAGGATATTCGTGGGTACTAGGATTCTATCATAGTTGTTTTCGAAGCATTGCTCGTGTATTTTAGGATCACGGAGTTAAGCTACGCCTGGGTTAGCAATAAGGTACTAGGATGGTAAATCGGTTTATAGGGTAGTAAATCTTCATCAACTGAGGTGTTTGGGACATACGTGATGTATCCCCACTTACCTCGAAGGACGATCTTCGATGTAGGAGTAGGTTAGAAGAAAGCTATTTCTAGGATTCCACATGACAATTTAATCTCTCTGTACTAATGGGGTTATGACAACTGAGACCAATGTACATACGTACCAGGTTCTAAGTTGTAACTGACTTGCTGACGGGATATGAAATTTATGATCCAACTTTTGCGTAAATTTCATCTTACCGACTGATTAACTGAGCTTATTCGGTTTGCTTTATTTATTTATTTAAACACATAAATATTGGTACAAAGGGGCACCAAATAGACATGCGCTGCACAAATCTCATTTGATTTGTGTAAAGGCTGTGATACTGCCCAGGTGCCCAAACTGAAGCAGGTACTTTTCTTAGGGGGCCACGCGCGGAGCCTTTGACCTAAAGATCTGATCCACAAGGCAGTGGAGCATCGTGAGGAGATGCAGTCCCATGGTAGCCGGTGACCAACAACTGGTTCATCTGCCATTTGTTCCCTCAGGATACTGGAGCCCATGTACACCATTGGTTTGGAATCAGGGTTTCACAACTCTCCTAGATGGATCCTCTGTATCGACCAACCCGGTTAAAGCTCCGGACATTCGCTTTTCGTCCTCTCACTTTTGTGAACAACACCCCCGCCACGAGAAGGCAGTGAGTAAGACTTCCCTGGCAGTGGTTGTATGCACATGGTCATGTGAGAGCATTTCGAGAGGGAGAGCTGACTCTCCCTACTCTCGGCCGTATCAGGGCGTTTTAGGGCAATGTTTTCTATTACTCTGATACTTATATTGATATTTTTATTTTTGTGTTCTAAAGTGATGTAACAACTTAAACCGATATACATTAGTACCAGGTTCTGCGTTGGATATTACTGACTAACTTTATTGTCTAATATCATTTGACTTTAATTACCATTGATAACGTAAGTGCAACAGTGATGACCTTTATGTATTCTGATTAAAATAGCCTAAAATTATTAAATCAACACTACCTTCAACTGTAGAATTTCTCATTTTAAAGTCAGTCAGCTACAGCGTAGGACTAGGCACATGCATCGGTCCAAGTTGCCTCGTTAGCACAACAAGATGAACACCAGATTCATAGAAGTAGTTAATTTAGTGGTGGTAGTATATAAAAGATAGGTTGTATATAAGGATATAGTATAGGAAGGAAAAGAGTTATGAAGCCATTTTAATCTCAAGCTTTAAGGGAAGATAAAGAGTGTATACACCTACGCCATTGTAATCGATTCTGAGCCATGTCACCCAGAGTCTCCAACCATTAGTCACGCGGACCCCAACCAAGTAGTCTGCATCTGCCAACATGGCTCAGACTAAAAGTTAGTGACTTCATGCTCTGATGCCAAGTTTTGGTTTGGCCGCCCCTAACTCTCTTCCAACCATCCCCAATACTAGCCAGCATCGCGTGTTGTGGTAATCGATGTTCAGGCATACGTAACACATGGCCCAACCATCTCAGTCGACGAAGATTCATCACCTCATCACCTGATTTACCATCATTCCCTAGTACCCTGTGTCTAACCTCACTATTACTTACCCGGTTATCCCAGTAGATGCGAGCAATATTTCTAAGGCATCTGTGGTCAAATATTAGTAACTTGCGAGTACCTTCTACTCTTAATGGCCATGTTCCACAGCCGTAAAGTAGAACAGAGAGAATTGCTGCGCAGTATACTCGTCCCTTGATTTGCAGACGGATATCTCGTCTTCGCCATAGGTGACGTAAGTTGGCAAAAGCCAAACAAGCTTTTTGAATCCGTGCTGAGATTTCGTCAGACACCAACCCATTAGGGCTAATCAGACTTTAAATATAAGCGAAGTTGTCTACGCGTTCGACTACTTCACTCCCTATCCTTAATTCAGGTGTTGACGCTGTTTGTAAATTATGTGTAAGAACTTAATTGCATTGAACTCAGTTTTTTCCTTATTGTCGAATAGAATGAATCATTGGTTTGTACTATTCATAAAATACGAAATAGGTGTTGTTTTCGCTTATACAGATATTGATCTTCATTCAGGGTCATCCAATACATGGACTGTTTTCTTTCCCTTTTAAGTTTGTCCACTCTTCTCTCCCTTATTATGGAACATGTACTTTACATTATGATATTAACATTTTTCTATTTCACACAGTATTCACATGACAATGATTTGTCAACTTATACTGTATGCTTACTGCAAAATTAATACATACATGCACATACAGTTAGTATTATCTCTTATTTATATGACCTTATAAATATACAGATATATACATGTTTAACCCATAACCCACATGAAACCAATTATTTTCTGTTTCATTCAACTTTTTATCATTTAGCATTTACTGGCTCAACTAGAGTATGTTATTAAAATCACAAACCAACTGAAGTTAGATAAGCATTAAGAACCCGGAAGCACTAAACAGCTGTTCAGTCCTATTGTGTGGCTCTCCAGAAGTGTGTATCTACAATCCCACTGAGAATCGAACCTAAAACCTTCAGGTCTTGCTGTGAGAGCCTAACCCTTAAACCACTTATCTAGGGTTTGATAGTTTACATGTCCAGCTTCAATGAATTCCGACATTGCATGACCATCTTCTATTGTCTTCAGTAGGTACCTGCCGCATACTCGATACGATAGTCACAGCTTCTGACTCTAACTCCAGAAATTTTTATCTTGAAGGTAGTCATTAGTGAGCGCGCAATATCGAGGACTAATTGAAGTTAGACATTAACACCAGCGGACATCAGGTCAGTAGTCTGATAGCTAGACTCTCCCCATGAGGCATAAAGGTTCTGGGTTCGATCCTCAGTAGGGTTGTGGATGCTCATATCAAACAGCTATCCAGTGCTCGGTTTTTGATAGTTTTCTAACCTAGAATGGCTCGTAATTTCAATAATATTCATCAATTTCTGTAAATCCCTTTACTGATAACGTATATATATATATATATATATATATATATATATATATATATATATATATATATATATATTCTTTAATAACTTTCTCATACCTTTAGCATATTTATTTAAACACAAATATTGGTACAAGGAAGCACCAGATACATATGCGCCTCACAAATCTCATTCGATTTGCTTGAGGGCTGTGATACTGCCCAGACTGAAGCAGGTGGTTTTCTTAGGAGCCCACACCCGGAGTCTTTGACCTAAAGGTCTAGTTCACAAGGCAGTGGAGCATCGTAAGAAGATGCAGTCCCATGGTAGCCGGTGACCAACAATAGGTTCATACGCCATTCGTTCCATCAGGATACTGGAGCCCATGTGCACCATTTGTTTGCAATCAGGGTTTTCCTACTCCCCTAGGTGGACTCGCCTTGTCCACCAACCCGGTTAAAGCGCCGAACATTCGCTTTTCGTCCTCTCACTTTTATGAACAACACCCCCGCCACGAGAAGGCAGTGAGTAGGACTTCTCTGGCAGAGGCTATATATTCGCTGGCCATGTGAGAGCATTTCGAGAGGGAGAGCGGACTCTCCCCACTCTCGGCCGTACCAGGGCATCTGGGGGCACCTTTAGTATATGGTGTTTGTAGGCTCTCACATGGCCACATCCATACAACCACTGCCAGAGTAGTCCTACTCACTGCCTCCTCGCAACATTACTATTCTTTAAAAAATTGAGAGGACGGAAAACGAATGTCCGGCGCTTTAACCGAGTTGATGGATAAAGAGGATTCACCTAGGAGAGTTGGGAAACCCTGATTTCAAACCAATGGTATACATGGGCTTCAAGATCCCAAAGGAACAAATGACGTATGATCCTATGTTGTTCACCGGCCACCATTGGATTACATCTCCTGACATTGCTCTACTGCCTTGTAGATTTGACTTTCAGGTCAAAGGCTTGGGGTGTGACCGTCTAAGAAAACTACCTGCCTCAGTTTAAACGTCTGGGCAGTATTTCAGCTCTCACACGAATCGAATGATTTATGTGGTGCATATCTATTTGGTGCCTCGGTGTACCAATGTTTATATGTTTAAACAAGCAAATAGTTTGTAGGTAGTTGATGATTTCTTAATGGAATTTTTCATCGAAACCTTAGAAAAAAGCTCTCAATGTACATATAGTGTATATGAAAGAACTTGTATTTCAGTTGTAGGAAATTAAAAATATTTTTACTGCTATAGTGTAAAATAATTAGATTGGTTTTTCTGTTGAAGAAAAAAATCAAATAAAGTACATAAGTCACGTTTTGAAAAAACAGAAGAAAGAAACGCTCTCTTGAAAATAGTATTCACTAATTTTAACGTTCAATGTTCGATTATTGTTTGGGTATCCCTTAATTAAAACTTTGTGATATCCTCCTTATGTAAAGTTCATTTACTGAAATGAATTAATCCAACTGCATTCACTGTTTATCATATTTACCATACATCTCTGATTTAAAAAGTATGTATATATTCATATCAATCTTCATCTAGATTCATAGAATTTTAAATAAGATAAAAAGCATGCTCTCGTCAATTAAAATAAATACTGATTATTAATTATCAGAAGGGGTTTTCTGGAGATTTAGTACTTCCATAGTTGAAGGCGTGAGTCAATTGAAGCTAGACCATCATCAAAAACCTGGAAGCACTGGACGCCCGTTTCGTCCTATTATGGGACTCCTCAGCAGTGCGCATTCACGATCCCGCACTCGCTAGATTCGAACCCAGGACCTACCAGTCTCGAGCCAGATCACTTAACCACTAGACCAGCGAGACGGCACCCGTTGGCGTTAATGTCTATTTATTTTATTTGTTTAAACACATAAATATTGGTACAAGGAAGCACCAGTTACATATGCGCCTCACAAATCTCATTCGATTTGCTTGAGGGCTGTGATACTGCCCAGACTGAAGCAGGTGGTTTTCTTAGGAGCCCACACCCAGAGTCTTTGACCTAAATGTCTAGTTCACAAGGCAGTGGAGCATCGTAAGAAGATGCAGTCCCATGGTAGCCGGTGACCAACAATAGGTTCATACGCTACTCGTTCCATCAGGATACTGGAGCCCATGTGCACCATTTGTTTGCAATCAGGGTTTGCCTACTCCCCTAGGTGGACTCGCCTTGTCCACCAACCCGGTTAAAGCGCCGAACATTCGCTTTTCGTCCTCTCACTTTTGTGAACAACACCCCCGCCACGAGAAGGCAGTGAGTAGAACGCGTTAATGTCTAACTTCAACCAATCCACGAAGTTAAACAACCGTTCACCAATTGTCTTCAGTGAGTTCCTATCTCACAACAGACGTGGTTTGAACTCCACTGGTCACTGCTTCTCACTAGAACTTCTGGATGTACTTCTCGAAGTCAGTCACTAGTGAGCATATGATTATATTAATTATCAGAATGGATTTTGTGGAGATTGAGTATTTTCATAGTTGAAAGCGTGAGTCAGTTGAACGGTTGCTCAACTTTGTGGATCAGTTGAAGTTAGACATTGACACCGTTGGATGACGGCTCAGTGGTCTATCAGTTAAGGGCTCTGGCTCGAGACTGGTAGGTCCTGGGTTAGAATCTCGCGAGTTCGGGATCGTGGATGCGCACTGCTGAGGAGTCCCATAGTAGGACGAAACGGCCATCCAGTGCTTCCATAGTGGTCTAGCTTCAATTGACTCACGCTTTCAACTATGAAAATACTGAATAGCTAATCTGTACTTAATATATGCATCACCACAGTGTAATTCGATTCGGGCAATGTTGTCCTACCTTCGTTATATTATCTGTATAGCTCATCATTTAGTACACCAGTTTCTACGTGGTTACTGCGTGGTCGTATTACCAAATGTCGATCTCATTTATGTGTAATCTGAACTTACTCAGAAGTTTGTGCATAACAGATAATTTGAGAAGTTATTAAACTTCGGTCAATAATAAGTTCCTGAACTATGTATTAGATGTTCTATTTTTATTAATGTTGCAAATTACTTCTTTTTGTTTGATCCCTTTATCTTTTTGAGCATGTGCTTGCCTATGTTATTAAGTCTAAATAAATATTTTTTCTTAAAGATGGTCGAATACATATTTGGCATGTCGGTAGTGGTAGTCATCCTATACATTCATCGCCTGGTACGGGAAATAGAGATCCAATTACATGTGTTCATTGGAATCCAGTATTGCCTACAATGATTGCTTCAGTAAATGATGCTGGTGAACTATGCATTTGGGGACCACAACGTAAGTGAGCCGTTTTTCATTTTGCCTATTTCCATCTATATGGTAATAATTAAGAATTACGGCAGAAGTATATTGTACGGTCAAACCAATTAAATTCATGATAGCTGCCATTAGATTTCAATGATGAATAGCTTGTAAATTGTTTAGGACTATGTAAAAGCTCACCAAAATTTACTGATGTTTCTTTACTGAAATGCTGAACAGACTAATAACGAATCTTTGAATCTCGATGAGAAATTTATTAGTTTTCTATAAAAACTGTAGAAAACAAATAGACCTAAAATACACAACAAATTGATGGCAGGATTTTGAATTTTTCAAAGCAGACTGAATTTTTTTTTAAATTGTGCTATACTTTTTATGGACGAACCAATCAGATTTAAGGCGATACCTCATGGATATTAGCACGAAACCCATTCATTTGGCTACAAACGATTTTTGCATTATAATTGATGTCAGTTTGTGATGAAAACCCTAACTTCGTTAGTTGTTAACTGGAACATACTCCTTTCATGTATTGTTAATCATTTCTTACGGGCTTTGTTATATATCAGAGCCATCTATTTTTCAGCTGCGCAATCATTGCAATACGTTTTCCTGGTTAAAGTTAGTTTTGACCCACCAATTAATGTTAAACATTTGTATCTGGTCAGTTTTATTTTCAAAAATTTATAACCTATAGTGAAACTGAAAACCATCACGGTTTCTACATTACCCTCATATGTTGTTTGTGAAAGCGATCGAAATGGGATTTATTCGTTTTGTGCTGTTTTCAGTGAAAATAAATTTCACAGGAGTAAAACAAATTGTAAACCTTAGCCCATGGAAATGAATGACTATTGAGCAACTTTAATGTGTATATGTATATATTCCGATCAACCATCAACTTATTTTCTTTGTGAATTTACTAACGACCAGTTTTTTTTGTACATTTCTTACAGGTTATGCATTAGGTAACGGTCAACCGATGGATTCGTCAACTTAAGTCTTCCACATTCACATACCTATCCATACTTGAATTTTTTTTCGGTCTTATAACCTACACTTTTCCCCTTTTTCAGTTAATATTTGCCGTCCACGACTATTTTGTTATTGGATAACAAGCTCCTCTGGAATCAAGCGTCACTCATTTATTTCTTCACATAAGTAAACAACTATAATCTATTATTTTACATGTGTCACTATTATTATTAGCAGTATCACTAATAATAGTAGTGTTTACACTGCCTATTTTGAACTGTTTGTGGTAACTCTACGGATGTGTGTGTGTGTGTTGTAATAACCAAACGTTATTATTCTACATGAACTTGAAAACTGGGTGGTATTCTAAAACAACCAATTTTTCCTACTATAATAATATTTCAAACTTTGTGTTCGTGTTTACCTTATTGAATTCCGCTGTACAAGTGTGCTCAACCCCAGTTTTTTTCAAAAAACGTAGTAATTTCGGTTGTTTTAATGATTTTTGTTGGTTATCACTAATTTTTACTTCTTTTTTTTTAATTAAACCATTAATTTGTTTCCTTTAGAGACATTTTCGCACCAACCACTTACCCCCCCCTTCTCAATATATGTACCTATATGTTTTCTTATTCTACTTCTTATAATAAACAAAATTTTGTTTGAAAAAAAAGTCAAAATTGCACTGAATCTTTTGAAAACATTGTATGCACACCATATTTTCCTGCTTGTATGAATTAACCTAGTTCTATAGTTTCTTATAATACTACTTGTTCAATATTATTTAAGTCAATTCCTTTTATTGGAATAGACTATTATAATGATGACATATATATATTTCCATAGGTAAGAAACTTTCCTTTAGGTTTGTTCTTAATATATATATAATTACAGTGTTGGTGTCTAGGATGGTTGCAGTTGAAACGAAACACTTGAATTTTTTATTAGTGAAACAATTCCTTCTTTTTTTTTGTTCAGTCCTATATATATCGGACAAAATTTCCTCCTTTTTTTTGTTAGAAATAGGCAAAAAAAAAAGTCAATCTTCAGTTAATTAAATACAGTACTGATGATAGGATTTGTGTATTTCAGAGGAGGAAAAGTTGTTATTTCTATCGAAAAATATATGACTGTGTATTGGATGAGTATATATATAACTTAAGTGTGATTATTTTGTCATAATAATATATTATTCTATTATAAATCAATAAAACTAACTATTATTATCATTTTAACTTATTATTTATATATCACACTAATAGTTTATTGATACAAGTCCATCTTGTGTTTTGAAAGGACTATATATATATATACTTATCTGACTATCCATTTAACTATTGTGTTTTTTTTCTGTGGTTCTAAATACTTTGTTTTGATTATTATTTTATTCAAAATAACTTGAATTATATATACTATACTACACTACTGTTTTTTTTTTAAAAAATATATACATATACGTTAATACAAATTATTGTTTACTTCGCTTTGTTGAATTTAATTTAGTTACTCACTTATCCAAAGGGCTATTGTTCTGTAAATTCACATCATTAGATCGGATGAATCGATAAGTGTTATAAACGATAGGATACTTGTTACTAGTTAACGGTAAAAACCGATGGATTTATCAACTTAAGTTTTACACATTCACATACCTAGCCATACTTGATTTTTTTTTGGTCTTGTAACCTTCGCTTACTTTTTATAACGCTAGGATTTTTTGTTATAACAGTCCTTTTACTTCATGGATTTATGCCACGTTTTGGTCTGGCCGCCCCTAACTTTCTTCCAACCTACACCACAAAGCATTGCACGTCGGGGCAGTCGGTGGTTGGGCATACGTAACACGTGTTCTCAACTAATGAAGTTTCACTACTTCATCAATCGATTTGCCATCCTTACGTAGAGTTAGTTCACTCTATCAGTTATTAAAACAGCATATCAAAAGTCTGAGGTATATAATTAGTATAATTATCATAACTTTTAAGATGAACAACCGTTCAATAAAACCTTATGAATCATTTGAAAATAAAAATGTATTGTACATAATGAAACCAGTTATTTGATAAATCAAATGAAAATATAAGAAAATCAATCACAATAAAAGTATCTTTCGAGAAATTAAGTGTTATAAATGGCAAGCCCGACCATCCTGTCAAGGTAGCAGTAACGGTCGGGATAAATGAAAAAGAAATACATTGATAATTTATGTGATGAGTGTATGTTGAAAATAACTTATTCAAGATGATGTTTCATAGTTTTGACTTCTATATTCAATAATAAGACGTTGAGCTTTGTCACATACTTTTTTACCTTTTGCTTCTAATATATCTAAACACTTTGACAATGCATCCAATTGAGCATTCAATTCATCATACTCTATTCAGTGATAAATAATGATTAAAAGAAAAGGTACATTAAATATAATCCAATCGAATATACATGAAATGTTCTATGACGCATTATTCATATACAACCTGATGGCTTTTTAGAAATTTATAATATCTAGGATGCGTTTAAATTTTTTACGATAGGTGAGATTACAGTCATATCACTTGTGTTTAACAATATTAAGATGCAATGTGTTACAAAAAATTTTCTTGGAAAACCTCATGTATGTTTTAACCACTAATATAGAGGTTATTGACTCAATGACCGATTAAGATTACAAAAGTAATTAGGTTTTTCAAACCAAGACACTACACCAAAATTCTGGGCATCTGTAAGCCTGTGGCAAAAACTATTGAGTGAAATAGTCTAAAGCTTATATTACCATTTTGTTAAGTCCAAGTACACCTCCAAATGCCCTGGTACGGCCGACAGTGGGGAGAGTCCGCTCTCTCCAAAAGTTCTTATATGGCCACGCGTATATAGTCTCTGCCAGGGAAGTCCTACTCACTGCTTCCTAATGGCGAAGGTGTTGTTTACAAAATTGAGAGGAAGGAAAACGAATGTCTGGCGCTTTAATCGGGTTGACGGACACAGAGAGTCCATCTAGGGGAGCTGGAAAACCTTCATTCCAAACCGATGCTGCACATGGGCTCCAGTATCCTGAGGGAACAAATGGCGTACGAATCAATCGTTGGTCACCGGCTACCATGTGACTGCATCTCCTTACGATGCTCCACTGCCTTGTGGATCAGATCTTTAGGTCAAAGGCTCTGGGTGTGGCCTCCTAAGAAAACCACCTGCTTCGGTTTGGGCACCCGGGTAGTGTCACAGCCCTCACAAAAATCTAATAAAATGTGTGGCGCATATGTACCTGGTGCCTCTTTGTAAAATTATTTGTGTTCAAATAAATAAAAACACCCAAGATCTTGTGAATCTTATTACTTTAAACATTCGTTACATTGGTCACTACCCAGTGGTCAACCAATGTTAAGTACGTCTCAGTCCTACGGGAGGCCAGTCGCGGCGAAGATAGCTCAATGGTAATATCTCTGACTGTGAAGTTAAGTGAAATAGGATCGAATCCGCCAGGGAGCATAAGTTCCCTCCAGATTACAAGCACACGAAACCTAAGTTCAAGGTTTCCTGTCGATTATCTCCGATCACCACCTTACATCTCAACATAGTGTAGGTGGTGTCGAGTCACTTAGACTAGTGCCCAGATCGCAATCTGATCGATAGGATTTTATCAGCGCTAGGAAGGACTGACATATGTGGTATTGGTCACTACACTGTGATTAATCAGTAGTAGAACCCCATACTTACATGCTTGTCATTCATCCTATCATTTTATAGTTTCCGTATAACGTTTTGGGATTTTACGTCATCTTAGTTATTTTTAAGTTGACAACATGAATGTCCACCAACTTATTACCTAGTTGGAGGTAAATAAGAAATAATCTTAAACTCCCATCGCGTAAAACATAAATTACAGCTTTGATCGGAATCAAAACATGACGACATATTAGGATAGAGAGGAAAACGTTTTCAAAAAATGCAAATGGAATACCTTCTTCAAAATCAAACTGTAGTTGTGGGGTACTGTCGCAAGGTGATGGGACAGTCATTTTCAATATAGAACGCTGTGTTAGTATCTATACACCAATCTTGTTAAATGAACACCAATGGTTACTTTTACCACATTCTACACAGGGTATCAGAACGTCCCTCGCAGTTAGTTACTGCAATGACAAAAGATAAAACAGTTCTCGATTAACGTACAGTGAAAATAGTAATATTTATAATTTCATTCATAAAATAATCAGCCACAACATATTGTTAACGATAGTTTTATGTAGCCACTATTACTATAATAACGAACATAACCGTAAGTAAAACTTTAAGTAGATAGTTGTTTAAAAAACTATGGCAGTTAGATATTGTTGTAATTTTTAATGTTCATTAAATCTCAGAATTCACAATATTACTCTGCTTTTCAATAGTCCAACAGGCGTTTCAAAAAACCATTATCAGTGAAATATTTTCTATGTTTAACTTCGTTTTCAATATACTTATTTTACCATATACTGGTTTTCTAACTTGCATGTAAAACTCATTGAGTGAGTGTTGAAAAGGCTTGTCTGATTTTAAATGCACTTATAATCAAGTAGGCATGCCTAGTAACCTATGACCTGTTCTATTTCTTGTAAATATTTTCAAAGTACAATCAGACTTGGCACTTATAATGAAAATACATAAAGATCGACGCTTTAGCACCTATCTACTATTCGTAATCTTGTACAATATGATAATTCAATAAATTTCTTTAGATATGTACTATTTTCTAATGTTGTCGATTACAGCTGTCGTGTGTTTAATTATGAAAACAAAAGCGAACATAGGAGACACTTAGGGTTAGGCGAAAGATGTGACGAAGTCCAAGCGTTTTAAAAAAGACAGTAGTATTGTTTCTCGTTGAGTTAAACTCACTGTTTTGATCGTAAATTATGTATCAAAACTACTGTTTACACTTTAATTAAATTTATTTCAGTTAACGTGACATTGTATTTGTGTGTTTTGATCCTGATTTTGTGTATTTACTGCATCAAAGCATTCTTGGTCGACTGCAGCTTAATTATCTGATCAAGGTTGTGATTCGTCTCACACATCTACTTTGCCTATCATTTTACTTCATTCTAAGATGGTCGGCTCTGCACACAAGTGTGGACAGCCATATTGCTTATTCCTCGTGGAAGGAGGGATGCAATGTGACGAATGTAAGAAGTGGTTTCACAAAATGTGCACCCGCTTAAGCCCTACTGCCTATAAAAGGTGTTCAAAACCCAATTTTCATTGGCTCTGTATGTTTTGTTGTTCAAGCAAAACATTACTCATTCAGGAAGCCATTACCCTTCTAGCGTTAGCTACTAAAAAGGTCGACGAAGACCGTGTCGGCAATATGGATACTGATAACGAAGATTGTATCAGTGTCGTAAATACTGCCATGTCATGTACCAGACACCCGATTTTGCAACACGAAACAGAAATTTCTACTCCGATACAACTAATGAGAGACGCGCCATTAGGTATTGGGGGACAAGTTGCTTTAGCAGCGACTGATGACCCGGCTAGAACCACTATGTCCAGAGTAGTTCCAATCTGGATGCTGAGACTAGTGGGAAATGGATTACGCGGAAACGTAAAAGAGAAGGAAAAATACCCAAAGAGAGCGCGCGTGTAGTCGACAAGTCCTTATTGGGCTCACGTCCTGCGCATCAGGTAACTCCGCTTAAGTCCAAATGTAAGAAAATATTTAGCACTGTTGTGGATGGGAACAGTTTGGCTTCATCAAATGTTGTTGTGAGTCACTCGCTCGACTCACACGACACTGTTATAAAGAAAGCTAACAGTAAGAAGCCAGTAGCTAACCGGCAGGATCTGACATCACGGTCGAAAGCCGTGAACATGACTTTTAAGGAAGCTAAACAGGTCCCTAGTGTAATCATTTGGAACTTGGAAGAATCGAAAGACACCGATCCTGCTAAGAGACATGCCCACGACCTGCAGTTAGTGGGATCTCTCATCAGGAATGTACTGCCCGATGAGGTCTCAGGGGTACATATCTCGAAAGTCATCAGACTCGGTAAATATGTTGGAGGCGAAACCCAACAAAGAAGGATCCTTAAATTAGCACTCGGTAATTTTGAGGAAAGAGACGTAGTAATGAATAACGCACGCAAAATTCGGGACTCAAATATTCGTATTCGACCAGACTGGCCACTTGAGGATCGGATCAAGTGGAAGAATGCCCTGACAGAGTTAAAAACTCGAAAGCTAAACGGTGAAACGAACCTTACGATTAAGGGTTTTCAGGTAGTCAGGTCTTGGAAGCCAATACTTCCGAGACCTGTGTGGATAGTTCATTCTCCCTAGGAGTTTTATATGCCAATGCCCGTAGTCTAAGACATAAATTCTACGAGCTAGGAGCATTAGTGGACAAAGTAAGGCCACTCATTGTAGCTGTGATGGAAACTTGGTTAGTCCGTGACTTCGATATCACCCCAGAATTATCCGGATATAATTGTTTAAGAAGTGATAGACATAGAAAGGAGGTGGCGTCCTTCTATACATAGCCAATAATATAAATATCCGCTCCTCCGTTTTCAAATCCCATGATAGTGGAACTAGTGAAGTCATTAGCTGTGAGCTCACTGTCGGATGTTGTACATTTGCACTCGGTGTCATCTATCGCAGCCCAATCTGCTTAGGTGATGACTTTATTTTAGAGTACATTCGGCTATGGAGTGCAAATAACAGATGCTTGATATTATGAGACTTTAATGCACCTGACATTAGTTGGACTGAGATGACCACGAAAGGTTCTATAAACTCATTTGATAGTAGGTTCTTGGAAACAGTAATGGAACATGCATTAGTACAGCATGTATCCAAACCTATGTTTGGATGAGGCTTAATCGTATATAATGTCGCTAGCTCTAAACGTGAATGATAAAACAGCGTAATCGCTATTTACTAACGGGGGAAGAATATTTAGGTTGGCAATATCCTCAGTCTCATGGGTAATTACTAAGTCCAATAGAGAAGAACCTTGGCTTACACCAAAACATGTAGGTTTGGATACATGCTGTACTAATGCATGTTCCATTACTGTTTCCAAGAACCTACTATCAAATGAGTTTATAGAACCTTTCGTGGTCATCTCAGTCCAACTAATGTCAGGTGCATTAAAGTCTCATAATATCAAGCATCTGTTATTTGCACTCCATAGCCGAATGTACTCTAAAATAAAGTCATCACCTAAGCAGATTGGGCTGCGATAGATGACACCGAGTGCAAATGTACAACATCCGACAGTGAGCTCACAGCTAATGACTTCACTAGTTCCACTATCATGGGATTTGAAAACGGAGGAGCGGATATTTATATTATTGGCTATGTATAGAAGGACGCCACCTCCTTTCTATGTCTATCACTTCTTAAACAATTATATCCGGATAATTCTGGGGTGATATCGAAGTCACAGACTAACCAAGTTTCCATCACAGCTACAATGAGTGGCCTTACTTTGTCCACTAATGCTCCTAGCTCGTAGAATTTATGTCTTAGACTACGGGCATTGGCATATAAAACTCCTAGGGAGAATGAACTATCCACACAGGTCTCGGAAGTATTGGCTTCCAAGACCTGACTACCTGAAAACCCTTAATCGTAAGGTTCGTTTCACCGTTTAGCTTTCGAGTTTTTAACTCTGTCAGGGCATTCTTCCACTTGATCCGATCCTCAAGTGGCCAGTCTGGTCGAATACGAATATTTGAGTCCCGAATTTTGCGTGCGTTATTCATTACTACGTCTCTTTCCTCAAAATTACCGAGTGCTAATTTAAGGATCCTTCTTTGTTGGGTTTCGCCTCCAACATATTTACCGAGTCTGATGACTTTCGAGATATGTACCCCTGAGACCTCATCGGGCAGTACATTCCTGATGAGAGATCCCACTAACTGCAGGTCGTGGGCATGTCTCTTAGCAGGATCGGTGTCTTTCGATTCTTCCAAGTTCCAAATGATTACACTAGGGACCTGTTTAGCTTCCTTAAAAGTCATGTTCACGGCTTTCGACCGTGATGTCAGATCCTGCCGGTTAGCTACTGGCTTCTTACTGTTAGCTTTCTTTATAACAGTGTCGTGTGAGTCGAGCGAGTGACTCACAACAACATTTGATGAAGCCAAACTGTTCCCATCCACAACAGTGCTAAATATTTTCTTACATTTGGACTTAAGCGGAGTTACCTGATGCGCAGGACGTGAGCCCAATAAGGACTTGTCGACTACACGCGCGCTCTCTTTGGGTATTTTTCCTTCTCTTTTACGTTTCCGCGTAATCCATTTCCCACTAGTCTCAGCATCCAGATTGGAACTACTCTGGACATAGTGGTTCTAGCCGGGTCATCAGTCGCTGCTAAAGCAACTTGTCCCCCAATACCTAATGGCGCGTCTCTCATTAGTTGTATCGGAGTAGAAATTTCTGTTTCGTGTTGCAAAATCGGGTGTCTGGTACATGACATGGCAGTATTTACGACACTGATACAATCTTCGTTATCAGTATCCATATTGCCGACACGGTCTTCGTCGACCTTTTTAGTAGCTAACGCTAGAAGGGTAATGGCTTCCTGAATGAGTAATGTTTTGCTTGAACAACAAAACATACAGAGCCAATGAAAATTGGGTTTTGAACACCTTTTATAGGCAGTAGGGCTTAAGCGGGTGCACATTTTGTGAAACCACTTCTTACATTCGTCACATTGCATCCCTCCTTCCACGAGGAATAAGCAATATGGCTGTCCACACTTGTGTGCAGAGCCGACCATCTTAGAATGAAGTAAAATGATAGGCAAAGTAGATGTGTGAGACGAATCACAACCTTGATCAGATAATTAAGCCGCAGTCGACCAAGAATGCTTTGATGCAGTAAATACACAAAATCAGGATCAAAACACACAAATACAATGTCACGTTAACTGAAATAAATTTAATTAAAGTGTAAACAGTAGTTTTGATACATAATTTACGATCAAAACAGTGAGTTTAACTCAACGAGAAACAATACCCAC